GAATTCTGTTGAAACTACAGTATTGCTTTAAGCAGTAAAAGTTGCAAGTTCCTTATATAATTAATTGGCTGTTAGAAAAAGATAGAATCTTCGAGTCGGGAAACACAGGCCTTCTGGGGTAACCTTCACGCTTAATACATGCCCGCGATTGTCTGTTACGCTCAATTCAAGACATCCTGAAAGAAAACAGTGCACTGGAGTGGCTGCAAGATCTGGGGAATAATTTATTATACACTTATCAAAATTAAGTAACTGCATCTATGAAATGTGCAATTCCACTGACAGAACGCCAGATATTGGTGTGACAGATAGCGGGACTATAGCCAAAGCCATCATCAACCTGCGCTTTGCAGACTGTTGCACCCAACCTAGTTATGCAGATATGATAGTGATGATGATGCCGATAACAATCAGTATCGATGTAATTAGATAATGAATAGAGGGTATATGTTTAGAATTCTGCTTTTTTACTTGCAATTTTTGATTAATTTCACTTTTAGTAGTAATTATAATAAGGGTGCTACAAAAAATGTCTGAAAATAAACACATAAAATTAAAAATTAAATCTTATTTGTAATATTTTCATATCTGGAAGTTAGAAAACAATACAAACACATTGTAAATTTTATCAGGAGAATAATATTTTTATGATTATGATGGATGATGAAAGATGATATTATAATGATGATTATGACAATGAGTAAAATTTAAAATCAAGTAAGAGGAGAAGCATATTTGTTGACAGATAATATAATCTCCACAACTTTGTCATTAAATCTAATCTAAATCCAATATTTCTCAGGATTCTCTTGGTATCCACTACTAATGAATGAATGAATGAATTATTTAATCTATAAGTCTGTTCAAATTCAGCACAAATATTTGGTGAAAACATACTGACATTAGGATTAATTTGATTGTTGCAATAAGGATTGGTTGATTTGCGTCATTAAAAAAATTGATAATAGATTAGATATTAATTACCAACATTTAGGAGTTTGTTTTTGTTTGTTGTGTGGTGGTAGTGATACAATGAATATATGATAGTGAATAATTAAAGTATAACAAGAAATACAATAAATCAACATTATTAGGAAATAGGTGTTACCGACTAGGAAAGGGTATGTGAATTTAACTTCCAGGCAAAATTTCACAATTACTGTACATTACAAATAATAATAGTAGTAGTTGAAATTAACAACATGAATCAAATACAGTATGAATAATTGTACAAAGCTCTTATAAATTTTAATAGTTTTCGTAGACAATTTCATTATGGTAATACTGGAATACTGCTAATTATAATGAAAAATGAAATTAACAACATGAATGTAAATAGATTACTGAACTCGATAAAGCTCATAAATTAAAATGTATTTCATATAACATTGATAATAATCATTATTAATCATTAATAATTTTTTTTTAAAATATAGTATTAAAATATGAAGTTTTTCAATTATGAAATGAATACATAACATCAATAATGTATTTGGTTTATAATCAATAATATGATGATTGATTGACCTATAAGATTTTGTTCATAGTTTGCTTTGCACCCAACCTACATCCATGCGTTTTCTCTACGGACTTGTCCCTTGTTTCATTTCTGTGATGATGCAAGTCAAGTATGTTAGAATTATGAGGAAAATGCACAATTTACATGGATCGACACAATGCTTGATTGCCAAGGGAGACTTGACGGTTATAGGGTTACAAATAATCTACAGTTAAGTATTCAATTTCATCATCCGGTGACGAGAAAAACGCACACTAAAAAAAAAACTTTGCTAGATGACAAATATAAATGACTCAGCTAGTTTGTAAGAAAATTAAAATTTTTGAGATTAAATTCGGTATTAATGATAGAACCTGAAATTGGATGCTGTATGGTCTGAATATGTGTAGAATTTTTTTGGGTGTCAGTATCATGTTCGTTTACGTTGTGTGGCACGCAGACGCAGCATCCTCATTACTTTTTTGACACTACTACAATACTTGGAAATATTTATCTTGTTTAATTCCTGTGGAATTTCCGATGATTGCTTTATCCTAGATATCAAAGGGTTATTCAAAAACATAATGAATCCAAGAGTAAGCCGATGATAATGATAATTTTGTATTACAGTACAAGTACAATAATGTATAGTATATTCATATTGAATCACACACACATTAATATCCTGAACATAACAAGGAAACATACAGAATCGGAATGAGTTATCATTAGTCGAGTTAAAATACAACTCATTAAGTAACAATCGAATTTTAATCAAACAGCTATTTAAATATATTTTCACTTAATGTAAATTCAGTATATATTTTTATTTTATTATTTATATATTTTTAGTTTAGGAAATACAATGCATTTTTTCTGGTTAATTGAATAAAATAAAATTTTTGAATGAAATATCTATTAATGTATTAGGTCAGAGTTAGCACAATAAACTGTATTATTTAAATTGAATGTGTGTTTGTATTGGCTGTTTTTTGTACATGGATGAACCAGTGATTTTAATCATTTGACAGGAAGTCCATTTCATGTTTACACCCTTTTTGACAAAGCTTCTCGTTACTCCCTTGGTTGCTTTAATATGGCTTTTATATTAACTCTCTACATTTTCCATCACCTTTAATTAGTTATTTGATTAATTCAATTTATTAAGGGTTGATTATTTCTGCCCACTGGTATCAGTTTCAATTTGTTTTACTATGCATTTGCATTAATTAAATTGTAGATTTTTAAAATAAAAAGTAACAGAGAACTACGTGACGAGTGACTGATTTAATGGGAAGTATGATTAGAGGTTCTGGGGTTCAAATCTTAAGGTTTTTCTCAAAGAATTTTATTATAATTTCATATTAGTTTTAATGTGTATTATTTTTACCGTTTCAAAAATTTTGCTATTTTTTGTTGATAAGGCGAGACACTCTTTATACCTTGTTCAACGAACCCACCGCCTTTAATAATGATGATTTCAAATAAAAATAAAATGTTATTTTAACCAATTATCGCACCGACTGCCACAAAAAATGGAAATTTTAGAAAAAAATAAAAGATTTTTCTTTATTTTTAATACACCTGCCGCTTCCTTGAAATCTCTAAAAATAAGATATGTATATTTAAAGTATTGAACCATCTTATTTAGTTAATAATACGACTTCTAAGGCAACATCAAAACATTGAAAAACAAATTAAAAAATTGACAGGGAAAAACTATAAAAGCAATCCTTTGCCATAAATATTTTCACATTTTCAAAAAATATCTTATACTTTTTATAGTTGTTCATGTATATACTGTACGTCAATGCATTTTCTAACTCCTAACCTAACTTTTTTCAACCCCCAGTTTATGCAGTTTAACAGATCTGATACTGTGCTGTTCTTAAGGTTGGTGGTTACAATGGCGCAAGTATCTGAGTATTAGACTGCTGTAAGCTCCACAGCACCACTTAAGCTCAAAGTAATCTAAAAAGTGTTAGTGCAATAATTCAAAATTGAGAGCCTACTGTACAGAATCATCAACTTAAAGAACACTAACATACGCTTTTTTTTATTAGTCCGTTGTGCACTACTTATGTTGACCCATTCTTAAACAATGCCTTGAACCAACCTCAGGCATCTGGGAGAATGGTAGTGTGTGTATGCATGTATTTCAATTAGAAAACTGCTACAATCTATTAGCCGCTGGTCAACAAAAGTGCAAAGCACGCCTCTAAATAGATGCGACGAGCAAGCGAATTGCTATCATCTTAAAATAGTGCAATCAACTGATAATTACTGGTGATCATCTGCGTCTCGGGCATAAGTGATGTTCGTTGAAGGCTTCATCGAATTTGACTTGTCCTTTCTAAGCATCGATTGCTATCTTGCGACTTATGATCTTTAAGTAATTATTATTATCTTTAATTACCACCAGTGGAGGTGTATCTTCATACCTGAGTTACTATCATGTGATTATGATCCTTGTTACCCACCCACAGATAGAAGGTCATCATAGGCAACTGATAGTGGTAATGGTCACTCTTCCAATACCAATGGCTCTGACCATTTTCAATAACCCTTCTTGGTGTCTGCCTCGATATTTGTTTATAGGGGAAAGGCAGGAAGGCCATGAACTATATGAATTAATAAGCTTGAACAATGGGTCTAAAGAAGATAGTCAATTTAAAAGGGAAATGTGGGCCGAAGAATGCTGGTGAAAAGATAGCCAACCTTTGTATACACAATAATAGTTGTTGTGGTGACGAGGTTATTTTGTTTGGGTTTTATTTCATTCTCAACTAATTATAACTGTTAACTCATCATATACAGGATGGGGAGTGTCGTAGTAATGCTCAATATACTAAGTTTCGTTATGAAGCTTTTTAGGAAGTGGGGTTATTTATAGTCATGAGAAAGAAACCCAGACTTGTTTTGAGCATTTTTTAAACCTAGGTTCCTAGGATTAAAAAAGTCAAGTAAATCCTTTCCAAGCCTCGGGGCTCATTGGGGCTGGAGCTTATCCCCAGTTTCAATACAGTGTTTTCAAAATAGGTGTTTTTTATGGAAGAACATGTAGAATGGCAGGCGAACACATGGAAATACACTTAGATAAAGTGTGGACACATCCCAAATCAGGAATTAAAGTTAGAACAACTCATTCATAAGAGTATACTGTACAAAACATTATACTTGTTTAAATACCTCTGTAAAGCCCTGTCCAGACTATCAAATTTCATTTGACAAAAACATGTGACATGCCTAAATATGGTCATGATGACATCACATCATGACCATATATAGGCACATCATGACCATATATGGGTATACAATAGTTTTTTGTCAAGGAAAATTTGATAGTTTGGACAAAGCTTAACATGCGCAGATAATGCAGGGCACACTCAGGGATGCTTTTATACAACAACAATGTGAGATAGTATCATGAATGAGGTATGTGAATGCTCATGTCATCAAAGTGACGTCACTACAAATTTAATTTATTTTTATTTTGGTCAGATTATAATAATTACAATGTTTGGCTTCATAAATTTTAATAGGAAAGCTTTAGTATTAAATAATCTCCCTACATTTTTCAAATTGCAGCTCTGAGTCGTGTCCAGAACGAGAGATACAGATTGGTTTTATGTATTCTCAAAATCCCTATACGTAACTATATCATGAGATCCGCTTTCCAAATTTTTTGATTGCATCGCACCTTTTTGTCAGAGGTGGTTCTAGGAACATTGCGAAGAAAGGAACTAGTATGGGCTACGTCATCATCTTAATCCTATCACCACCTTGTGTGTATAGATCCTACTTTAAACTTTAAACTGATCGATTCTCTCACTTCATTCATTCACCCACCCATCCATTAATCTATCAATCTGTCTATGTTGACGTCCATCTATTTGGTTGTCTGTTTATGACTTTGTAAACAATCAGTCATGAGTCATCTTTGTGATTGTATTATTAACTAACGAAGCAAAGAAAATATGGATTGATTTAGAAAAATCGAACCAGTGACTTTTTAGATTTTCCAACTTTTTAAATGACAGTGGTTGAGGACTTGCATTCTATAGCCTACAATCTATAGCCTCCATTCACTGTAACTTAGGTTAAAGGAAAATAATAACAACAGTAATAACAATACTAATTGTAATAACTAATCCTATAAAATGTATTATATTTATACTAACCAAGGAGCCTGTCCATAAAAAGCTGCAGAAATGCATAATATAACTTCAATAATTACCTAGTGGTACATTTTTTTTAAACAAGTAAAAATGCTATATAACTATAGCTTTTGGTGCTTTTAACAAAATAATATATAAAGGAAAATAGATAATTATTAAAATATAGCATATGATAAATAATTTAAAGAATAGCCTTAACTAGGTACCATATTGATTTCCATTAATTCATCTCCTGCTTTAGGGGGTTATAGAAGTTAAAAGTGACTTTATAGCCTATTGTGTTTTTATGTATTTATTTATTTATTCATCTATTAATTCAGGTGGGCTGAGTTATAGATTATCTAATAGAAATCAAATGCAATGTTGAAAATATATACAAATAGGTTTTTTTTTTCTACGCAAAAAGTAACATGATATGATGAAATATAATGAAAATGATATATATTTTAAGATTATTAATATAATATTTATGATGGTTTAGTATACATTTCCTTAACAAACCAAATTATAACATGTCATCATATTTACACACACAATTACAATTTGTATACATATGTTCAACATCTTAAGACAATAACTTTATTTTGATATGAAAGTTTCACTATACATGTTTAGTCATTGATTTTGTAATCTACAGTATTCCTTTGTTGGCCAGATCGTTCTCTTTCATTATTGCTGTGGTCATAAGGTTTAGACACCTGTCCTGATATGAGGCTGTCATTGGTTCAATTCCAGCCGGAGTTGTGCGAAATCCAGCAGTTGTCACTCGACCTGACATGGATCCCATGTCAAAAGACATTTTGTTCTCAGGCAATGCAACTTACCCAATGCTTTGCAGTCATTTACTGATAATCTAGTTAAAATTCAGTTTTATACTATTAAGATAATGGATTTATAATTCATTAATAATGGTAGCCCAGGGCAAATTACGTATATGAACAAGCTTTTGTGTAGATAAGCAGCTAGCGAAACTAGTTAGCAGAGCTACCTATATATCGAACCCAGGTTTTGTTGCTAGTAATGGCCGGGTATTAACTAGTGATTTATACCCTGTGTGGTTGTCATTTGCCTTTTCTAATGTACTGCTTGACTCGGCTAAGCCTGTGGATATATAGAGTGCTGTGTTAGCTAACCTCCACCTACTTATTCACATCATCGACCATAAGGCAGTGGATTTCTGCCTGGTGTGCTGGTTAAGTTATAAACAAATTTTTATTTGACATCATATTCGTCTTTACCAGCAGTAAGGGTTACCACATGTACAGTTGAGTTGTGGGAATGTCTTCACCAGCCTAGAAGGTCAGATACTGGGTTAATCGCTTTCCCTGTCAACTTCCTGGCATTATCCATCCATTCCCAGATTGTTCCAAGGTTTTCCCCCATCTATACTTCCTCTCATTCTGTTAGTAGACTGCATTGTCATTTTCGATCAACTGTTTACCTAAGGAAGTGAATATGGTTATAAATATTTATGAAGAGTTTGGAAAGGGGATAAAGCAAACAATTCCCAACAAAAATTTATACCGGTATATATATATTTATAGAAGTAAGTTACTTAGAAATTAATGATAGCAAGCTGGTTTTTTTGAGAATGGTATACTGTATTTGTAGTAAAAACAATCCTAAAATCCATATCGGTACTACCCTATCTCGCGTCCTCTAGGGATTTTATAAATTTTAAAATTTGAATGCACCATCAGATTGACAAGTGCTACTTTTATGTAAAATACAGTAAGTTCAAATAATTATATCACCATACTATACCATTACCATATGTTGGAATTTCTTATACAGGATAGTATGAAAACGAGTAGAGCAATCTTATTGAAAAGTTGAGGTATTCTTAACAACACAATAATCTTTTCAGAACAGTCTGTATGCTACAGTATGCCACAAATACCAATAGGTACAGCTGGAAACATTTAGTAGCATAATATCAATCAAAATAGCCGTTAACACCGTTACTGTTAAATTATACATAAATCATCAAATAAAGGTAAATACAGTGTTTGAATAAAGGACATGATAGTACATTGTGTATCATAGCTCTCAACGAATGTTATCCTATAAATAAACAAATTGTGTAATGAAATTCCTGTGACGGGATTCGAACCTGTGATATTTATTTATACTTAATAGTGATATTAATGTTATTTTTTCTATAATAAATGTTCTTATATGTGACTTAAATATAAAAAGTATTAGCCCTGTCTCTTATACACATCTAGATGTGTATAAGAGACAGATATGGTACAATAAATATATAGAACACTGGTAATTAAAGAACCACATCAACTGTGCACCAAGAGACATTTCTAAAGATGCTTATGAGAGCGTAAAAACCATTTCAAAGCAAAACTATATCTAGTATAAAAGTGTGCCGCATCGAAGCTTGTTGAGATGAAGAATAGCTAGAGACTTAATGGCAGTAAAAATGGGGTAATTGATTACTTTTGCCATTTTTATTTATAGTCTGATTAAAGACCAAATGCATTTTCAATCTTTTTTCTTTGTTCTTCCGTGCGAAGTTGGGCATTTGAAAATACATCGTATGTTTCAATCTATTTAGGTTTAAAGGTACTATATATTTATATTTCATCTTCTTTCAGTAGCAGTGAGATAGTTTTGTTTTTTTTTATTTTTGTTTGATTTGTTCAACTTTACCTTTCCCTATAATAATACTTTAATTTCAAGATTGCCCCATATTTTATATCCATCTTATAATTGGTAAGTTCTTTTTCTTGAATTAGATTGAAGAAAATTTACCATAGTTCCTTCAGTATACAGTAAGCGTTGCATTTGCAACAGAGAATAAAGTTAATTTTTTTGTGGGATTATACCCAAGGATAAACAAATTCTAAAATCTAGATGGTGCGCTCACTTACCCTCTACTGTGTTCCGATAAACCATTATTCATGTTGCTTGTTGTCTCGTTTATTTGTTCCTTTACTTACTTAATGTCGGAAATGTTTAGATCATGTTTTATAACAGGACACTACTGTACGCTTACACAGGCTTATAGGCAGGATTTTTGATGGGGGTGGGGCTGCATTTGTGAGCAAATCGAGCCTTGTGGGGGTGTGGCCTGTCTAGTTTAAAGAGCCCAAAATCTCCTACAAATTAGCATTTTTAGGCCCTTCTAAAACCTATACTAAAAATAAGGAGCCTGTAGAATAGCAAGTTCAGAAAGGTCTAACATAAGCCTCAATAAAGTTTAGCCTAAGAGAGCTTGGCTAATATCACACAAAATATGTCTTTTGTATACTTCAGTATTCAAACTTTAAACTAGTTTAAAGAATGGAAGGAATGTATATTATAGATGTTATGCTGTGGTGTATCAATGCCTATTTGGTTTCATGAAATAATGCAAAAAAGAACTGTTCTTGAAAATAAAGTTTGTTTGATTTTGGTATTGTCTGTAATATTGCATTTGATTTAGGAATTGTGTGAACGAGCTGAAATATTGTAAATCTGTTGGTTGATTTGGTTTGACATTTTATTCCCTTGGGAGGTGTAGAGTTGTCGTTCCCCCATTTATAGGTGCTCAGTGTGTATTTATCGCTCTAAGTGTGTATCTCCACTAATTGCTGTGGCTTGTGTGCAGAGGTAAAAGTGTAATTTAATCTAGGCCTTGTCCACTTAATATAAAAGAAAAAAATGACACCGTTTTTTTTTTCTTTTAATAAAATTGGTATGGAAAAAATATTTTAAAGTAACAAAAAAATCAACATTCTCTATCTTGGGGATTTTTTTCTATGTATTTACCTGATTTAATACAAACTAAATTATAATATCAACTGAATTGGGGAAAATTTGCTAAAGTATTAGACTTTTCCAGACATTAAGTAGGCCAGCATCATTAAATCAATTTCATTTTTCTAAATATTGGGTTTTCCAAAGCAGATGTAAACATTTATTAACGCTCGCATGACAAGAAATCAGACATTCCAACACTGAATAGTTGCTTGCTCTGTAGTTAAGTTTTTTTAAACCTTTTTTTTTTTTAAAGCAGGTTGAAGTTCAAGATAAGTTAATGTTCAATTTATAGATGTTAACCAAATGCATTTAAACCACTTCAATTGAAGGTAATCATGTTATTCTTTTTCTGTATCTATTTCAGGAATTTCCCATCCCTGCTCAAGTTCTGAAGGCTACTTTTATGTCAATAATTGGTGCCCTTCTAGAAGACCAGGTGAGTAAAGTAATTGAATAAATACCTCTGCAAAGCTTTGGTAAATATGTGCATGACTTATGTATATTATGTATATTTTACGTATGTTTCTTCATATTCTATTGCAATTAAATGTATTTTATAGCAAATAGGCCTATAAAGATTAATTTATTTCTATAGTTGATAAAGTTGTACATTTTACTCATATATTAATTTCAACATCTGGTGATCAGTTATTACTTAATAGTGGTGAGAATATATATGAACATTTATCATTTATTTTGTGATAGTGGGGTTTATCCATACTAATTTGAATTTTTTATAACACGTAATGTACCATTAAAATAATTATAAAGCATTTGTATAATTTATATTAAATTGATTACTAGCAATTTATTAAAATAGAAGAAGCATAATGGGCCTTACAATATTAAATGTACTTATATAAAAGTGGTAAATTATGCGAACTTTTAAATGCATTACTGTATTGTGAAAGGGAAGCAGGGTCATGAATAAGGAGTTCATGTATAATTGTTTTTATCTGAGTGTCATTAACGCTGCACGCATTTCACTTGTGAGCGTTCCAATTATAGGTCTTGTGTTAATGCTCCACGTTCATCATTATCACTGAGCCTGTATCTCCTCCATGGAATAACGATGAAGTAATAAAACGTACACTATAAAATGTGCATAAACTACTCTACCAATCCCATTTGCCTTGTACTTTAAAATTAGATACACAAGCGGTTACCGGATTAGTAGGCTTTCAAGTTTTATTGTTGTGTTTGCTTTCTGTCTTTTAGCAAAATGCAAAATTAGGGCAAGGTTGTTGGTGTCATACATGCTTAGTAGAGGGCGACATTCGTATTTTCTTTGTTCTCTTCATACAACATTTATATGTCACAATGTCTCAGAAAATACAAGGTTTCCCTGTGCAAATTTTTATAAAATTAAATTTTATGAATTCGTTCCTGGCGGAAAATGAAATTTAATATTCTTATTCTTTTTTCAATTTTCTTTTTATTTCTAAAATAAAAAAATCAAATCAAGCAAACGCCAAAAGAGATGTCATTAGTTTCAATTTCAAAGAACCCTATGGAAATAATTTTCTTTTTGCAAATTTAGGGTTATTCCCAATATACCTTTTTTATAATATAATTAGTTCATATTTACTGTATTTCTTTTTGTTATGTATTTTAAGAGCATATTGGATAAATTAAATCAAAGACTTTTTGAGTGGTATTGTCAGGAATGAAAAAATAATTTTTTTCCTGTGGGTTTTAAATATATTTCCTGGGACACTCTAGTGGACAGCGTAAAGCTACATGCACACCGAATCCAAATATTTGGATCGGAAAGGCCTACGAACCAAACGTAAAATCAAGGCAGTGTGTAAGAATAGGGACGCTGGTGTTCAGCACATCAGAATTCGGTTCGGATCCGATGTGAATGCAGGTTAATGTACATTTATTATTATTTATAAATTCATTTCTAATGTTTTGATGTGATGTAGGGTCTAGAGAGCGCAGGCACTTTTGTGAAGGATTTCATTCTTACTCAGTTGATTGAAAAGGATCTAATGGAACTATGGAACCCAGTTGATCCAATGAAGATCCTCCTGCAATGCATTGATGCTGATAAGAGAGAGCTGGTAGAACCAAGGTACAGTACTGTTAACTCCTTTTGTTGACCTATATAGAGTACTACAGTGTTACGTCATGATACCATGTGATACTACTCCGTTGCTATCGGCGACACAAAGTGCGTTAAACCTGACCCATTGTCTCCACTGACAAACCATTGATCTCAATTTCTAACGTAATTATTAAGATGTGATATCTTAATTTTTCTTTGTAAATTTTAATTGATGAGTAAATGTGTGTTCGATAATTAATATAATGCAAGCTTTTGTGTTTTTAGTACATTTTAATGGTAAAATATTAGATTTTAAAATACCTGTTCAAGAAAGCCTATGAAGTCATTATGGCATAATGAACAGTATCCAACGTCTGGTTGACAACAGAAGGCACCACCTGGCATTGTGACGACACGACTGGTACTCTATTCAATTCAATTCAACAAAACATTTATTTTCTTCCAAAGGCACTAGAAAATACAAAATTGCAAATACAAAAAGTACAAAAATTGGAAGAAGGCCAGAACCCGAGAAGTTGTTTTCAAAAACAAACATCTTGTGATGGGCAGGCCTGAAAAAAAAAAGGGAGAAAATTCAGCTCAATATATAACAGCACGATGAATTTCAACCACAGAAAAATTGAATAATTTGAGATTACTGATATTTTCTGAGAGGGTGTATGTAGCAATGATGTTATTAAATGAGGCATGCAATCTCAAAACCAGCGTACTGTCACCATATGTGGCAAAGACAAGCCAAACCAGTCACTCGTCGGAAAAATCAATTTTTAGTTATTAATACAGGGTTTAAAAGTAAAATGAGAGCTATAAAATGGTAAAAGAAAAATTATAATCCGACACTTCGTTATGAAGTTACACAAGTTTAAACATACAGCTGTTTAAAGAACAATATTTTAGAAATCAGCCTTTAAAGTTTACGATTTCAGGCATTTCTTAGGCAGAAACCATCACCAAATTGTTAAAAATTGTTGTTTTAACATTGAAAATGAGGAAAATAACAGCATAGCATGATGTATAGATATATAGAGGTTAGTTTAGTGCAATAAAATTGATTTCCAAAATTTTGACATTCCAGCATGTTTTGGCCATTATCTCCATAACAGGATTTGCGACGAGTGACTGGTTTGGCTTGTCTTTGCCACATATGTTGAACTGAGTAATTAGCATAAGAATGTGTCAGTATTGTATACTTTAGTGCAGTGAAGCCACAATACTTCTACTCATATAGATTTGGCAACAGTAAGTCGATTCCAGTAAATGACCCATCATTTTAAAGCTCACAATGTGGAGAATATGAAAATATTAAAAAGTCAATTTACATAGTGTTGTGTATATAAGCTCTAGTTTTACATTTATGTGGATACATTTTATCTACATGTTTGTTCCATCTTGTTTTTGTCTTCCTTGTTGTTTATGACTTGCTTTTCCATGTATAATTTTTTAGTGTAATACATGTAAAATGTAACCTACTTTCAACTTTGTTTTCTTTTGTGTAGAATAATGCGTCAGGTTGGCGTAAACACAGCTGTTCCTGTGTATGTAGTGGGTGTATACTGCGACAAACAACTACTTGGCTGGGGTATGTAGCAAGTTGACACTAAGTTTAACAATGAAATCTGAAAAACCAATTTTAAAAATGCAGTTAAACATTGAATGCAGTAAATCATTTTCTATTATTTATTTACACTTTAGTGAGGGTGGTCATTCCTGTCAAAGCTCTATATTTGAGACCCTCAGTTAATTAGTGATTAAATAATTAAGTAAGTTTCAATTAAAACACTACAAAAAACTGTAACTGTAGTGCTTCCCAATTTAATATTTAAACAAAATTTACTTCCAACAACAATTGAGGAATTACACAATAGAAAGTCTTACTGTTATAAAAATTTGCAAAAAAAAAAGGTAATTATTGAGTTTGAAATTTAGTTGAAAGTTAAAGCTTTAAATAATGTAATAAATTTCCTTAATTTTTTTCAGCTGCGGGAGAATCTGTTTCAGCTGCTGAAGATGAGGCTACAAGAGTTGTTCTGCGGAAGATGTTCAGGATCGGGGAAGGGAGTCCACCCCTTCCCCTTGACTCAACCAAACATGCTAAGCTTAACTCAACTATTATACAACAATTACAGATGAACACACAACAAGCAAAGATAACTGCTTCATGATCATTGCTTGATCATATGACTTGAAATCATAATGAGAATGATGGGTGCTATAACAAATCAACCACATTTTATTATATGCTATATCAGATGAATATATTATGTTTATCTCTAGTGCAGTAGCTGTACTTTGCTGTATCAGGTGATGATATTATGTTACAGTAGCCATCCATCCTTCCACCTTCCTCTATGCCTTCCTCTACCCCCTCTTTACATTACAAACCTTACCCATCCTTATCTTCAACAAATAACAAAAGTCAAAATGCTGACAACAGAAATATTTAAAAGGGATTTTTTATAAAATCAATTCACTTAATATTAGCAATTGCAAGGTGTTAACACGTTATATTTTCATTGCGGATTTTTTGGGCTCATTACGGACTCTAAACGTATGCATTTTCTTTTAGTTTTAAGGCGTATGCGGATTTTATAAGTCTGCAATGATGATATAACGTGTTTGTTCAGGTAGAAAACAAAATGTATGCTGGCATGTTGTTGTACCACTAGACAACCAAATTTGAAATGTTACTAATTACTAGTGTGATCCAAGAGTGAGTGTTACTTGGGTGTAGGTGAGCCATGATATGTGGTTAGTCTGTATGTAACTAGATGCCTAACATTGTAATATTTTGACTTGGTTATGCTTTTAGCAATGAATATTGCTGTTTATGATGAGAAGTGAGCAATATACCTCTTCTTACAACTACTCTCTATTTCGTATCATTTCCTTGCTTCTGGCAATTCTTCACGTCTTGTTATTATGCATCCAAACAGTTCATAAAGTCATATGCCCTTCAACAATTTACATATGTATGTCAACAGCAAAAAGAAATATGTACCGTGTTCCGTTACTTGATTGCTGAAATAAAAAAAATGTTTAAAAAACAATGGTTGTATTTTACCATTTCTAAGATACCATTTGATTTCACTGGGAGCAGTAAGATCACTGATCTCTATTATAAAAGCTGGATTGCTTATCTGTCAATCATTGTACAGAAAAAAGTAAAGCCACAGGCGCCATATTATGCAAGAGCCAGAGTGACGTACCACACTAGACAAGTATGTTTTGGCATTTCTTTAAATTATTGTTAAAAATATTGATTCTTGCAATAATTTTTCAATTATGTATTTTAATTTTAAGAAAGATTTTTTTCACATCCTCTAACCACTCAACGTGGGTGTTTGTTCAGTTTACAAAAGCCCAAGGGATGTTGCGTTGTTGGTGATGTCACACCTGTTCAAAAGTTTTGCGCTGTGATGATGATTGTGACGTTTTGGGCTCCCAAATATGACATCAGTAGCTTCTCTAAAACCAGCCAATGAGCAATCCAGCCATTATAATACAGATCAGTGAGTTCGATGTAGTGCAGTACGAAGCAGTTGCAGCTTACCAGAGGCGGATTCAAGGGGGCGCCTAGCCAGCCAAGGTCCCCCTAAATTTTTTTAAATCGAGAAAAAATGAAAGTTATTTGCAAATTTTAAGTCTCCCTGGGCCCCCTCCATTTTAAATTCCTGGATCTACCACTGCTTACAGTATATAATATAATATTTTTGTACAGTAGTTTTGTCTGCTTTCCAAAACTTATTTGGAGATGCATTGATAGAGCGGTCAATAGAGGGCGGAATATATATTTTTTAATTCTTCAGACGATGCTAAGTCATACAGCTTTTGAGCCTGATATTAATGAAATGTGATAATGATATTAACCTAGTTGAGTATAAATGAGATCAATGCTAAAGAGATGATGTATGAATTTTAAACCCTGTAGTTTGTGGTTTCCTTTCTTACTTGCTATACAATCATTTCGGTATCAGTATGGAGTGAAGTTTAATGGTTAAGATGCTTGCCTTCTAATCCCAAGGTCATGGGTTCACATCCTGTGAAAGCAAGATTTTTTTCTTGACTTAAAACAACACCACTCCCTAATCCTCATGAAGAAACTTTGCTGATAAAAGCATGACACTTTCATTAATTTAAGAGGGCCCCTGAATATCAGCCAAAGTTTTATGATACACTGGAATAGTCACCCTCTATAAATATAGCTTAAAACAAAAATATCTAAAATGTGCTTTTTTGTTTGTTTGTTTTTTTTTTCAATATGACAACAACTTGTGATTTTTTTCGCAATTTTTTTCAAACGTACTGGGTACTCAGTACATTTCCACGTCAGGTAGGGCAAAATTACACCTATAATATGACAATAGTTAAATTTATTTTAACATAACAGAGTAATGTAATTTAAATCTCATAAGCCCCAAAAATGTGTATTTTGGGTGGGGGCTCTCATTAATTGCATTCTTATCTTGTATCAAAATTATAGCTCAAAATTGCAAATGCTAAAAATGAGGGAATATTATCTCAAATTTAACCAACCATGTTCTTTTTGCAAATTATTTTATTGACCTATTAGGGATCACTTTAGAATAAGTGCCACTTGCTGGTTTCCGAGTGGTGCATCAAAAAGGCACATCCAAAATACAAAACGAACATCTTAACTAAATCATATTCACTAATTAGATTCAAATAATATGAGAGAGTAATGGAGAGAGAAAACAAACGAACATTTACAAGGACAAAAATCATCTGATGTTTCATAAGGTAACCACAAAGGGTCCTTAATCGCAAATAAGTAGGCCTACCCTTTGTGATTATCTTATGTTACTTGAATACAGGTAGATGTTTTTATTGCTGAATGATATATTTTGATATATGTATATATAGTTTGGTTGGTAAAGCGGTAACCACATGGATATTGTTAATTATAGCTTTAAACCTGGCAATTTAAGCATAGGTATTTTGGGTCCTACTTGGTAAAACAAAATAGGTTTGTTAAATAAGGTTTTTAAAAATACACTGAACCTAGTAGGCTAGTGTCATGTGTTAAGAACCGAATTGATTCAAAATGCTAGCCTAACAATAATCATCATACTAGTAATCATCGTCATGCTAAATAATAGACCCCTCGAGTCAATTACTCGAGAGGTCTGTGGTATTTATGATTATCTGTGGTATTTATGATTATATTCCGCTGCTGTGGCCCTTTGTTGTAGGCCTTAGAGTGTGTTTATGAACAGGGGTGCACAACCCCACTCTCGTGAAATTTCTTTGAACTAATCGTGTTACCGTGTGTAAAATTCTATTACCGTTATATTACCAACACACTCATAGGCGTAAACGTGCTTTATATTGACAAACCTGACAATACAATAGTCATACTACATTATTCAATATTTAAAAGAAATTTCTGTGCAGAACTTCTGTCTACTAGATCCCATGAGTCTATATCAAAATTCAATACATATCCTATTACTGTATTGTTCTTTAATTGTAACCGATTTCTTTAATTAAATGTGCTTGTGTTTGCCATGTCGAAAGTGTATACATTTTCCTTATAAAATGTAGGCCTATTGGTTTTGTATAAGATTTAAACTACAGTCTGATAACTATGTCTTAGAAAGACTTCATTTCATACAATTCAAGACTTAACTTTATTTTTGTAGACCTACCATAAAGCAAAATCCAATATTGTTGGTTTAAAAATGGTTGCAGGAAAATGAGCTGTTCCGCGTATTTGCATTAGAATTAATGGAACATTAGCCCTCCCGCGAGCGGGGTAAAATTTTACCATTTGACTAAGTGGAGAAACTACAGGAAATAAACAAACCCGAGCGGTGCTTTTATTATTGATATATAGTGCCGCCGTGCGGACGGGGTAATATTGCTATCCGTGTACCCATAATGCATTTCGAACGAATGTTCCACAATATTGGGAAGCTGCTCTATCTTCTGCTATTTATTATCTTTGGTTGTACTCAATTGCTGGTCTCTATCTTTAGTCAAAGTTCCCTCAAAAGACGAACGCTTGTAACCGTAATTTGAAACTTGATACAAGTATGTGTAGGCCTATACGGTACTGTCTGTCATAAAATATAACTTCAAAAATTCAGTTAACTTAAGTAACTATTAAAATGATTAAATAATATTCCAACGGTAACATAAAATATCATTTTCCACTAAGGAAACTCTTTGCTTGTTTAACATTACATGACACACTGAACGAAACAACTACGGTAATTTTCTTTTAGCTGAATAACATTTTAGTTTTTTACACTATACTACCAATTGGTACATGAATTGAGGATATAGGCAATGTCAAATTCTGCAAAGAATATAGCAACAGTATTATTTATAGGCATACATTTTTCTAATCATCGTTTCTATTTAAATTTTAAAATGGCATAAAATTAAAAGAGTTTTGTCAAGCCTTTTTTAGATATAACATCGATGAGATGCTACGTAACATTCGATGACATTGTGAAGATCCGTTATTAAACTGTTGTCGGAATAGAAGTAATGAGAAAATATACGTTGACATTGAGAAAATATGTCTTTCTTTGGTGGTGATGAATAAATAATTGGTCAATCTGTGGCAATATAACAAACAATGTTAAAAGTGGATATTACAGAGTAATAAATATGGTAGTAGATGAGAGGCCGGGGACTGAACGTTTCTAAAGATTTTTTTTTAAACCAGCAAATATTGAATTTAGGCCCGTTGTGTTCTTTTGTAAGCTGGTAATGCAAATATTTATATTATACCATCTTATGCGGAACTCCTTCATATTTATTCACCAAACATTCACGTCAGAAAAGAAAATCGCATTCAGGGTGGATTTCTTATATATCTGTCGTATTGAAATCAACAGAAAAATAGTTATACTCAAATAATAGTTACCGGTACTGTTAATTATGTATATGTATTTACACTATAACATAAATATTACGCATTTAAAACATAATAATTGTGGGGAATTCGGTTGTATTATAGACATTATTGGATGTGGCCTATTTCTATACTCAAAGACTAGATATTTTGGTTATTAGGTTTAGGGACCTATTATATTTTAATCATGTAGCTTTAATAATATATTCTGTTCTTCACAGGTAATTTATCTTTACACTACTTATTGTTGGTAATTTGGCTGATTGTTGTTATTTGTAACGGGTTTTTATCATAATCTGTCATTAAAAGGGTACTATAAATTTGGTAGAGTGTTTGCACAGCGGTTGCCGTTAGGAAACTTAAGAATTTTAAACAATTATGCCTATGCATGAGGCGTACTGTACATAGTTATACCGTAAATGCTCAAATAAATATAACGATTTTGGAAGCTTCAGTGCGGCGCTTATTCGAGAGCGGCGCTTATAAAAAAATATTGGCGTGGCGCTTTCTATGCTACCTATTTCACGTATTCCCGTATCGGTAGTCCTATCGTAGGTCCTACCGGTACGTCATCGTAAATAAACGTTTATAACGAAATGCTTGTGTCATATTGTTATTTATTTATTTTAACACAGTATACATTGTATTTAAAACCATGTTTCTCAAAGTGTTTCATTACACACAGAGTAATATATACTCTCGATTAAGCGCCGCGGCGCTTAACGTAAAATAAATCACGTTTGGTGCGGCGGTTATTCGAGCATTAACGGTATACAGCAGCCCTAAAGACTAAAATAACTAAATACTCTTAGTATCTGTGTTGAACCCCCAACAGAAACTCTCAAAATATGAAGTAGATCTACCGGGAGAACTTCTTTTAGTTAATACCATAAGTATGCATTTACGTAAACCTAAATAGATATATAATTATGGCTTTTATTTCTATTTTCATATGAATTATGATCACATATCTTATTGTATTTAGGCCTATTTCAAAGATATGAAAACCTTTCTGTTATCTGCAAGAATGATGGAGTGGCTGGTTGGTAGGGATTACCATACAGTTGATTTACAACCACCATTTCCTATCATTATAATTGTTGCTGGCGTATTAATAACCCGTCATTTTGTAACGGAACCCGGATGTATCATAATTAATAAGATAATAATAAGTAGACCTACTCGGTGTACGCCTTAGCATTATTTGCGGTACTAGACCCGATTAGCGTATTTTTACTTACGCACTTATTTTTAGTAAGGATGAGCACGTGATTAATTTCCAAGTTCAACACCAACGTATTTTTAATTGCATCATGTGTTACTTTTGACTTGTGGCGAGAACAAATCACGACCCGGATATAATTTCTTAAAAAGGCGGAAACTATTAAACAATTGTAAACGACTCCGAGTTTCTAAGTTGTCTGCTCAATTTAGTAGATCGTCTGCAAAAAAAAATAATTAGCTGCCATGTCCACCTATCTGTAGCCATGGCGATTGGAATACAGAGCTGCATATTCTTGATATTTTTAGTCAATTCATTGCAAAAAACTGATGGTGAGTAAATATTACTGAATTAAATTACGATCTTTAAAGAATTTATATTTTTCGTAGCGGTCACGCGACGTTTACTTAGTTGCTAATATAGGCGAATCTTTGTTAGAGACAGTATATATATATATATATATATATATATCAATACGACCAATTATATATCATCATTATCAACCAAGTCGAGCATTTTAATTGGAATGTGAATTCCTTGGTGGATTTTTTGTTCTTGGTAGGCCTGTTGCGTAAATATAAAATACTGTATTTTCCATCTTACAGTATTTTCAGAATCCTTGTGTTCAGAGGTCGTGGCGTATTAGGGCCTATTGTTAATTGCTTATTGTCATCATGCCTATGTATTGTGGTTTTAGACTTGTTCCATTAATGAATGTAGGCCTATTATAATACTGAGCACAATATTATTTAACGGCAGTTTTATTTTTTATCATGTAGTTATATTTTAACAGTATTATGTCTAGCTGCTGTTATAATTTATATTTTCTTTCATTTGTTTTAGGCTCATTTATTAAATCGTTCGTTACATCATCAAGCATTCGTGTGGACGTAAGAGATACTAATACCACGTCATTAGCAGAGGTACGGCAATGTTCTAGAATTATACTTTATATACATTTAGGCTTAGGCATATAATCAAGATTCATTTTCAGAAATACAATTTATTTTTGAGAAAGTAATTACTTCTTCATATAATTATGACACTAATAGGCCTTATAATATACAGCACACTTCTACTTGCTAAATTTATGCAAAAATTAAGTGTCTATGTTTTTATGCCTAATTGTTTTCTGTTTGAAAAGTTTTATAGACAATTAGAAAAGAAACAAATTATTTGATAAAAAAAAATAGGCCTACTACATTTCAGTATAAATTTAAAGCTAATGTTTTAAGTTTAGTCAAGCTTGATTGTCTATGTTTTTTGCTTTATTCTATGTTTGAGTATTGAATTAAAAAAAGGGGGGAAACTAATTTAAACAAAAGAGCACACATAGTAGGCTAGGCTTCTTAGACCTATTAGAAAGTTAACAAGGTCTACACCTACACATTTGTATGCCTACGTTTATGCTTCGAATATAAAAGGATTGGGCCTACGTACAGTTTGCTTCTCTGGCATCGTTTAAAAAGCAGACTTTATGAGGCTTTGGAAGTGAAGTGTTTTTTGGCTCTCAGGGAATTTTTATCACGATCAAAATAACTTCTCTCTCTTACTTTTTGTAGACTTATATCATATAGGCCCTATAAAAATAATACCACTTAAAATGGATTAAATTGCTATTGGTAGTCATGGTTCATATACTTAAGAATACAGGTCTCCCTCTAATGAAAGTCCCCGCCAATTAAATACCACTTTTGTTGTGGTCCCAAATCGACAAATGTATTTTATCTTCATTATTATAATTAGACACAAAGGCAAAGACCATGGAAACACGGTCCCAAAGTTGTCTTTATTTGGATGGAGACCTGTAAATTGAAATCGCTTTTGTTATGCTTCCTAATTTTAAATTATATGAAACAATTAATAATACATCTGTGTTTGTATCGCTAACTCAGATTTCATACAGTAAAGTTAACTCGTCATCATTGGTTCATGTAGTGCGTTTTATCGAAACGCATACCATGTACAAGATCACGTGCCTAAAACCCGATACCACATACACACTTACCATCACCACGCTTGTACAAAATCGGAGCGAGGATGAAACAATTGCTTTAACAACCGACCACAAACGCGGTGGCGACGATGACGATCACCCAGGTAGGCTACGATTGTGTTGTCGTTTCCACAAATTGTAATAATTCGCATAGATTTCACACGTCCTCTGTGTCACCTTTTGGTTCTTCCTGTTAATTCTGTCTCCTTTTTTTTTTTTTTTTAGAAATAGTGTAAAACCTCGAATTTAAGACCTAGGCGCTTTTTTTTTTTTTTTTTTTTTTTGCGAACTTTGGATGGCCTCTCTTTTCGAATTGGGCTTTTTTGGCAAAGTATTGGGCCTTCTTTACAAAATTAATACCGTCAATTTTGGAGATTACTACTATAGGCCTAAGACAATATATAGGGCCAATGTAACATCAATCTGTATCATGGAGTGCATTAACCGCTTATTTAATCACCTAAACTACTGTATAAACCAAGCGTGTTTTTAGTTTGCTTTGTCGCTTTGAAATTAATGTAGGCCTACAGCGTATATTTTGTGGGCCATCCTCATCAGTCTGGTGATATTGCTGTTCGTATATCTATTTGATAATGCATGAAAAATGAAAGATGCGTTAAAAAAAAAACAAGGTAGGCGACCTCAATCAAGATACTATTGTGTTTTTCTCCAGTTTTCTTTTTCCTGACTATTGGAATAAGTGCGCTTTGTGGTGTATTGCTTTTGGTTGTATGTATAATGGTTTGTGCCCGATGCTGCAGTTGCTGTTGTAGGTACGTAACGTAACGTAAAATAATTGTAACATATTATCATAAAGATATAGCTTCTGTCGAAGAAAAAAAACATAAAAAATGTAATTAAAACATCGAATAGTTAACTTAAAGGGATCAAACAGGTAGTATATGATCAAACACGATCAATCCAGATAGTTCACTGGTAAACAGACGTGTGAAATATTTAGTTAAATAGACACCGTATGTATTAATAATATCACCATTGATAAATATAGTTATTTTTATTGTTATACCAACAGTTCAAAGACGGAACGTTCTAATAAACATGTTGAAAATAAATCGAGTATCATGCAAAGAATGCGAAAAAGACGGGGCCAAGAGCAATCAATCGTCCAGGTGCCATGTAAGGATATTTCTGACTACACCAACAGCATCCCGGGATGGAAGGCTTCATGAGTTCATTATGCTCACTAGCAGCATCTCGGGATGGAAGGCTTTTTTTTTTTTTTTTTTTTTAGACACCAGCAGCTAGATGTTGAGTTGTATTTAGGCCTGATGCTATCCGTATAAAACAAGAGCTTTGTAAGTGGCTGGTCGAGATTCAGGCCCGGGATTTATCAATCTCAGCTTAGTAAATGTCTTAAGTCAAAAAAATTAAGATGGCCCTAAGCAAATATCTTAAGCTGATTTATCAAACCATCTTAGCAAAATCTTAGCTTAAAAATGGTCTTAGATGGCGCATGCAATACAATTGACTTTTTAATTTTAAGCAATTTTTAAGCTAAGTAATATTAATAAATCTGACTTAAGCAAAAAAATGGACTTAAGACGAATTTACGTTGATTTCTATTTCCATGTGGTATTTTTTGTTTTTCAAAATTGTACTTGTATTCTGATTATAACACAATAAATTGTAATTAATGATAGAAAAGTTATAATTTATTTCTACATGGGCCTACATGTACAAATTATTTTAATTAACAAACACAATTACTGTAAATACATTGTTACGATATATATATAATGTGTATTAATTGAGTAGCTATTCGTTTTGTCACACTTCTTATTAGATCTAAATATGTCATTACTTTTTTTTAGATCAAAAATACAATTGTATAAAACAGCACAACTAATCAGGCTTAGCCTTTTCAACATAACTACCGTACTGTATTAGAACTCATTCTCCATCGAAACATACATGTCTCCCTCTAATTCTAAAGAACACCTCCTAAAGAGCACTTTTCTGTGATCTCAAATTAAATATTAACAAATTTCTTTTATCTTTATTATTATAATTAGAGACCAAACTTTCTAGAGACCATGGAAACCTCGGTCCCAGAAGTATTCTTTTCAATTCAGAGACCTGCACTGCACAATGATAATTATAGAAAAGATGACAAAATATATGTTTGTCATTGATATCTATGGCGTCTGTAAATTTAAATCATGGCTCTGACTAAAAAGTTGGAGCGCCCTCTTACAATTATTTTGTGTTAGTGTTCAGACTTCACTACGCTGATAATATTTTAAAAGAATACATCTAAAGTTAAGTCTGTCCCCTGTAACCTCTTTTTATAGAGTTTATCCAATTGCTCACATTGAGCTACTGTAAAGTGAGTCTTCCATTCTCCAACAATCCCTGGAAATAGATTAAAAAAAAAAAAAAAAAAACATTGCTAGTTGAGTATTAGAGTAAAATGGTCTTATTTCATTTCATTTCATTTATTTCGCCTTTTTTAAAAATCATAACAATGCAGTAAAATATTCAGAAAATTCAAAAAGGTAATCCATGTTTCCTCCAAGAGCCGGCAGGATTACCAAAAAGTAAAATTAATTACTGTCTGAGTGGCTCTCCAATCAATGGGGGAGTAATTATGTGGAGTATCTGTGTGTTCATGCCCACATAAGGAGAGTACCCAAGTACGGCTCATATAATCCTGTAACTGTTGTTCTTGTTTCATTAATTTTCCTTCTTTCTTGACTTATATGTGGAGGGGCACCATGATCGTTTTCGTTGAAACGGATACCGGCGCTTTATAAATAATACGGTAGGGCCTAATAATAATTATTATTATTATTATTATTATTATTATTATTATTATTATTATTAGAGTAGGCGATATGTCTAAGTAACTTATTTTACATTCTAGGCTATCATGGCTACCGTTTAATTGAATCGATATTGGTTTATATGTGCTTATATTCTATTGTTATATTAAAAGTGTATATTAAAATTGTTTATCATTTCTAAGGCTTTCCTTTACACCTTTACAGTTGTGCGGCCTGATCAAATTCTTAGCAGGTGTGTATAGACTATCTTATTGTCCATTTACTACGTCCGTCCAATTTTCAATTCTGTAGTTACTATTTTTTAAACATATACCGGGGAAATACATATTTACAAGCTCACCTTTTCTCATGAACTGAATATTTTTGCCAGAACTATCAGCTGAATCTAACATGACATCTTCCGATTTATTTACTTTCGGGTTTTTCTTCATACTGCTGAATGAGCAATGATCTACAATACGAGCGACTGTTTCTTCATTCAGGACATGCCCCAAGAATTCACTCACTTGGTGAACAATGTTTGACAAGTCCTGGTGAAAAAAAGTTACGCTATCAGTCATATTTGTCATTTGAATTACATCTACTACACTACTGTTATTGCAGCTGATGCTGCTACTACTACTGCTAGTCCTGCTGCAGCTGCTAGGCCTACTGCTACTTTTTTGCTACATCTTATGGTCTTACTGCTACTACTTTATTACTACTACTACTATTTTGTCACCTTTTTCATATCTTCGTAAGTTACGAACAACACGTGTGCTTCGTGTCGCCTATTCCACCAGTAGAGATTGTGGTTGAACCATGACCCATAAGGAACTGAAATTAAATATTTTGTAAACATGTAATTTAAGGTAATTCATTTAGAATGTAAATAGTGAAGCTAATACATTAATGTACCTTCATCTTCATTGGAAATTGGACTCTATGTTGTAAATCATTTATTAATCCATGATTGTGATGCTCATAATGTTTATTTCTTTCGTTGAAGATTGTGGCATTTTAGCTTGAATATATGTGCATATCGGAGGATATAGTTTTGTTGAATATTTTCTAAATTTTTTCAGCGATCTCGTAGTTTCAAATGCGCATGTCAAAAGTCAATGCATATATAAATATATACTAAAATAAAATATCTAGTCTTCTAGAAATTGGAAACGTCATATTACAAGTTGTACGATTGTTCGTTTATGCCTGGACCCTTAAAATAGTCATGCACACTTGGAATATACAAGCTAGTTTGTTTTATTCTGTTTCCATTCTACCTTCGTCTTTAATAAATAGTTGGAAAAATTCATCCCACTTGAGTTTCGGTTCCGAGATAAACCCGTTGAAGAAATAAAAACAGGATACAATGACGTCTTTTGGATTGCGTGCGACGTAAATAACCTTGAAAAAATAACAGTACAATAATATCACATTTTGATTACTTACAAACTTCATGATCGTCATCAGTGAGATTTAGATCTGCGACGACGAGTAATCTAGAACGATATGACGTCATTTAAGGCATATGTGCATGCATAATTATATTCGTAATGTTTGGGATGAGATCTGTGGTTTGGGTTTCGTCAGGGCGTATTTCTGACCAAGGCAATTAAACAGAAGGACGCACATCTCGGGACATCAAAAGTATGGCTACGTTCAGACCTGTGAGATACGCCAGGCGTATCTAACGCCGGGCGTACGTTAATCCATGGCGTAACTAGCGAGATGTCCAGACTGGGCGATTAATGAACGCTAGCGTAAGTATTCGCGCGAAATATTCGTATTCGTAATTCGCGCCATAGGCTATGTTCAGACACAACGACTTACGCTAGCGTAACGTTAATCGAGTGGTGTGAACTTGTGCGCGGCGTAGCGAACGCCAGTATTATTGCGCAATCACTGGCGTACGGTAATCCAGCAACAGACCCCAGATTAGGTACGCCACTGATTTACGACAGTCACGCATCGGTGATTTTGAACTCAGCCAAGATTTGACCAATCAAAATAAACCTAGATGTAAACAGAAAATAAAATGCGCGAATTACGAATAC